TAGTTCCCAATCTCCCTAGTTTCCAATCTCCTTAGTTCCCAATCTCCCTAATTCCCAATCTCCCTAGTTCCCAAATTCCCTAGATCCTAATATTCCTTAATCCTAATATCCCTAGACGTCCATACACCATCATTAATTTATACGAAATTAAATACTAAATTTTTTTAAATTTCATCACTTGTACTTTCAGGTGGATCTTATTTTCAAAATCACTTCTGACTCTTTAAATGCTAAAGAAATTTTGCTCGTAATAAAAATGACAAAATAACAGTAAAGTAAATTCAATTATGTGTTTAGGAAAGATACGAAGACACTACACCAATCGTACGAAACATTTAACTGACTCGTGATCTTGACACTTAAATAAACAAGAGATAAACGGTCTGCTAACCTCTGTTATTTTACATGATAATTTCGCGCGTGTTGAGAGAAGATGCTGAAAGTTCTTGAACTTCAGCGTATTCTAACAGATAAGCATCTATCGCTACGTCTGGTCTTATTCGTCCAGCTCTTGATATCTTTAGCAATACATGTTATTGTGCTTTGTTATTGCACTGTTGTTTAGAAATTTAGGTATTTGAAATTTAGGGATTGGAAAATTTAAAAATTCCCAAATGTAAGAATTTGTGAATTTGTGGAGTTAAGGTTTGACTCCATTTAGAATGACCACTTGACTCCGTTTAGAAATGTAGGAATTAGATAAATTACGAATTTGTAGATTTGGGGAAAATCATATAGGACTCTTGGAAATTTGATATTTGACAACTCATGAATTTAAAAGTTTGATGAGCTAACAACTCCAAAATACCATCGATACACCAACGTTACTTCTCCACCTCAGAAACACCGTAAATCGCCCAGACCTAATGTTTCCAAACTTCCGCTCGTATCTCCGTCTGCAGTTAGCCCCCGTACCAGCCCGAAAGGCAGAAACAACTAATCGAGACAAGAAATAAGAGCATCGTTTTATTTCTTTCCAGCCTAGTAATTCCCCAATAAACCATCGATTTCCAATCTGTTCACAGTTTGCCTCCTAGTAACCCAAGTGGGGATAATAGGAGCGTGGTCCTCTCCGTACATCAGTCAGTTAACTTCCCCCGAATCTGAGCTCCCGATCACGACGACCGAGGTATCTTTGGTGGTGTCGTTGATGAACATAGGAAGGCTGTGCGGAGGATTGATCTCGTCAATTTGCATCAACTATTTCGGCAGCAAAACGACGGTTCTGATCAGTAGCGTACCCATGGCGTTCTGTTGGCTGTTCATGATCCTGGCCGACAGCGTAGAGTGGCTGTACGTTGCCAGAATTTCTGGTGGTACCAGCTTAGGAATGATCTACACCTGCTTTCCCCTTTACCTGGCCGAAATAGCGGACTCCAAAATCCGCGGAGGGTTGGTTGCTCTGGGTATGACCGGTCTACCTTTCGGAAACCTGCTCATAAGCATCATGGGGACGTATCTGTCCATGAAAACATCGGCCATAATCGCTCTGGGTCCCTGTCTGATCGTGATGTTTTTCTTCTTCTGGCTACCGAACTCTCCGCACTATTTGGTGAAACAACGCGAGAACGAGAAAGCGAAGTCGGCGATACGCTGGTACCATCGCGACTGCGACGTGGATACAGAGCTCGCAGCCTTGCAGAAGTTCGTGAACTTCGGTGAACGGTCGTTGACCGACAACCTGAACGAGCTGAAGAGCATCAACTTCAGGAAATTGATCTTCCTGATAATGATGCTGTTCGTCTACAGCCAATTGAGCGGCGTCAACAACATCCTTCTATACATGGAGTCCATCTTAGCGTCGGCGCGGGTCAGCGTGATAAGTCCAGCGCACGTGGTGACGATCGTAATGTCCTTCGGTATCGTCGGGACACTTTTGTCCTCGTTCCTGATAGACCGATTCGGGAGGAGATCTCTGCTGATCATATCGTGCGTTGGTGTCACGCTGGCGATGTGTTTGCTGTCGTTGGAGTTCCATCTGTTGCACCACGGCTTCGAACCCAGCTCGGTGGAGGCGATCCCCATATTCGCGATGATTTTTTTTTACATAAGCGCGTTCATAGGTTTACTTCCTGTACCCACCACGATTCTCAGCGAGATTTTCCCGTCGCACTTGAAATGTTACGCCACGTGTTTCAGTAATTGCACAAGCGGCGTCTTCGGCTTCGTTTCCGCGATTACTTATCTGCCTCTGCTCAACGTGATGACTGAACGGTACGTATTTTTATTTTACGCTTTATGCTTAATTACGGCTGTACCGTTCACGTTGGTGTTTGTACCGGAGACTAAGGGATTAACGCTGCAAGAGATTCAAACTCGACTGACAGATAAGAAATAAATGCACGTTGTCGCTCGCAGCGATCGTGGGGTCCTTTCAAACGCATAGTTTACGATCGTAACGTTCAGCGATAATCCTAGATATTTCGGAATACCATGATTTGTTACGCGCTGTTCATTTAGATTAAAGATACATGATTTGTATGTTCTGATTGCGTTGATGTGTAGTTCAGTATTTTTTCTTGTGTACGTTCATATGTCGTGCATAGTGTGAACATGGATCGCTCATATTCCTAATATTTGTATTGTCCGAAATACCATTTTCAAATTTTTAGATTTAGACATTTTTAAGGTTGGTTGTTGCAAAATTTGCGAATATGGTGATTTGGAAAATTTGGAAATGGAATGTGGTGTTAAAAATTGTAGTATAAAGAAAACTTGTGCTAGCAAAAATTTAGAAAATCACAAATTCTACAATTGGGATACAAAGATCACGAATTAGCATATCACCATTTAAAAATGTAACTCTAATATGTCCCTACTCGAGCACCAGATCCCTATTGCCAACATTTCTGCATCCGTTTAACATTATCCAGAAAGCAAAGAAAAGAAGAATGAAAAGAAAATTCTACTCGAACGAAAGTTGCTTCTTGAAAGATGGTCCAAGTTTGATGGATATTTCGTTCGAAAGATCTCGAAGAGTTTCGTATGAAAGGTCGAGATAATAGAAGGAAGGTCTCGATGCCTGGTGTTCTTTCGCCCGGCGATTTTCCCTTAACCGAGAAACGATGTAGCTATTTCTCTTCGGAGCGGACGCACGCCGTCGTAACGTCGACGATGGAACTCGGCCAGTTTCATATTTTACAAGACGATACTTGAACCACGCCAACAGCGTTAAACTTACCACGCTCCCATGACGACACTGTTGAAAATTCGACGCCAGCTTATCTCGCTCGGGTCACTGCACGGTGGCTCTTCGTTGATGACGTTATAAACGGTCGGACATCGATAAAAATTTACGATTCATTTTTCTTTTCTAACTGGCTACGCGCGGACGTCACCGTATCGGATCGCGAGTTTTAGGGAAAGCTTGGATCTTTGATTGTTGAAAAACAAGGCTGTCAAAAGTGAACACAGCTCTTAATTGTCAAAATCAAAAGTTATTTATGTTTAAGTTATACGTTGTTGTAATAGTATTTACTGATACTGACTTGTAGATACCATTTGATATAATCAAGTTCGAGCTCAAGAATGTTATGTGTAGTTATAAGATAATTTGTCCAATGTAGTCGTAATAGTGAAATTGCTTTATAATATAGAAAATATACATATCTAATATAGCAATTGTATATAGAAGAATTATAATAATTATGTACTAGACACTGTTGAATTTTTGTTTGTAACAAAAGAAAATTAAAGTTTTCAAAAAAAGGTGTGTAACTTAATTTTTTTAGAAAAAATATTTTTTCCCGAAACCTTCTACATGGATTTGTAGGTCCAAAGAAGTAGTATAATTTTTGTTTCAAGCATTTTTTGATATCTTGCATGGCTTACAAGATAATTTGTATTGAAGCGTGTCTGACCAACAACGTCACTTTCTACTGTGGCAATGAACTTGGTCAAAATGACGTCTTTTTTATTTTTATTCTTCGATTGTAATAATTAATGTACATGAAGAATTTTATACTCATGCATCGTTTACAAGCTAATTTGTATTAAAGCGTGTCTGACCACCAACGTCACTATCTACTGTGACAGTCAACCTAGTCAAAATGAAACCATTTTTAATTTTATTCTTCAACAGTAATAATTAATGTAAATGAAGAATTTTATATTCATGCATCGTTTACAAGCTAATTTGTATTAAAGCGTGTCTGACCACCAACGTCACTATCTACTGTGACAGTCAACCTGATCAAAATGACGCCACTTTTAATTTTATTCTTCAACAGTAAAAATTAATATGAATGAAAAATTTTATACCGAAAGACATATTTTGTACTAAAATTTAAGATCACTCTTTGTACAAATAAATGTCCCTAGCAGTTCATCTACATTGAATTCACTGGTGTAAAGTATAATTATCAGCAACACATGACCACATAAATATTGTACAAAGTTTATCGAATAAACAAATATTCTGGAGCATGCATTATTAACACTGACACATCGTTCTAATTAACACAATAAATCTGGACGAAATTCATGAAATATTGAAATTACTGAAAGAATATTATCCTTGATTGAAATCATATTTCATGAAGAGTAACTTTCAATGATTTAATCACGTTGCATTTCGATACAATGAAATATAATTTAATCTCGAATTTTGATAACCAGATATAAATATAGTAGACATCACCTATAATGATGAGATTTCAGATATACGTCCGATAAAAAATGCAACAGATATTTTACAAAAAATTGATCGTAACATATCACTGTTACATTTGCTTGTAATTAATATTACTGTGCTAGAATATTTCCATGAAAACAAAGTGACAGTATCATAAAAAGTATGGAAACAAATAATTTCAAAAGAACCTCCTGTCAATATTACGTGTTTTCAACGAGCCTCGCAAAAAGTCTATCAAATTAATCACCGAAACGTCACCGCCACAACGAGCTCCAGATGTTCACTTCCTGTAGGCAATACAGCTAATTATCATTTGAAATTAACCGAGGTACCATTCCAAGAACCGTAAAAACCAATGATATTATACTTTGCTCAAGAGAATAACGTTCACAATCAACTGTACCCTCAGAAGTTCACCGATATCGTTAAATTATTGTATCTGGCGATTCGATAAGCCGATTTGCAGTAAATCCAACTTTATAGAAAGAAAGATCACAGGAATTATCGTAATTAATACCGTGTCCATTTATCGGGAACGGAAAGATGCATGGAGTTATTAATGCAGTCTGTTCGGGCTCATGAAACATTCATGACACTTTTTCTTCCAGCTATCGAATGGCACCGGGCTCCCTTACGATTTTTCATCCCTTTGTCGAAACGATCGTTACAGCTTAGCGGACAGTAAAAAACACGTCGTAAAGGGACGATTGCCGGTCGGAAATAAAGCGGAATATTCACGAGGGTTATTGGAACGTTCGACATTGAACGAGTCGTTCGTCCGACGATTCGCTAAATCTTAACAATGCATTCGCTTCGTAAGATTTTCTTGTAGATTCCATTTCAGATCCTTTGCGTACCGCTGCTTTTTTTCTGACGTAAAGGGATCGTTTTATTCTTTCCATTTAACTTTGATTTCCTATGTAACATACAACTCCGGGATCCTAGATTTCCTGCAGGGAAAATTGTGACGTAAGAAGACGCGGAGAATTACTAAACTTTCTTGAGCAAAATAGCGATATAAGAAAAGGAGCTTTGAGTAGAGAAGGATGAATGATAAATATTTAACCTTCAACCTTGAACGACCAAAAACTTTCAAACATTCATAAATTGATAAATTTTTATATAGAAATATTACAAAAATTCCAAAATCATTGAACACCAAGATTCCTATATGTATATCTAAATTACCAAATCTCAAGATTCTGGTATCTCTACAAATCGAAATTTAAAAATTCATATATCTCTAATCCTGAAATATCCAGATACTGAAATCTATAGATGCTAAAAATTCCCTAGATACCAAAACCTCTAAATACTGCAATCCTATATATTAAAATCTCGCTGCCCAGAAATCCCTAGATCCTAAAAGTCCAAGATCCTAAAATCCTTGGGTCCAGAAATTCCTAGATCCTAAAATTCCTATGCCCTAAAATACATGGATCGAATAATTGCTAGATGCAAAAATCCCTAAATCCTAAAATCCCTGAATCCAAAAATCCCTAGATGCAAAAATCCCTAAATCTCGCAATCCCTGAATCCTAAAATTCCTATATCCTAAAATCCTTGGAATCCTTAGAATCTTTAGAATCCTTAGAATCCCTAGAATCTCTAGAATCCATAGAATCCCTGTATCCTAGAATCCTTGGAATCCCTAGAATCCCTGTATCCTAGAATCCTTGGAATCCCTAGAATCCCTATATCCTAGAATCCTAGAAACCTTGGAACCCCTAGAATCCCTATATCCTAGAATCCCAGGAATCCATAGAATCCCTAGATCCCGAAATGCCAAGATCGAAAAATCCCTAAACCAAGAAATTCCTAAATCAAAAAATCCACTAGATATACGAATCCCTAGATCTCAATGTTCCACCTTATTGTTACAGATATTAATCTTTCAGGAACATTTTTAATATCGTTGGTTTCGTAAATATTTGATTAGTATCTTCGAGATATTTAATGTCTCGAAGCGACGATAAAGTACAGTAAATCTATTTACGCTCGACAGGAACGAAACGGCAATAATGTCTGTCGTCAGCGGAGTGCGTGCTTGTATGCAGCAGCCAGTTCCAAGACTGCTGTCGAAGTAAATTAAACCGCGGGTCTAAACGAACGTAACGAATGATCGTGCGATTCTGTTTTCGGGTGCGAGAAAGCTTTCGTTATCCATCAATTCGAAACGAGCGGACGGTAATTGTGCAACGATCGATTTCTGAAAGTTCATTTACGAAATGACGCTCCGAGAGACGGTTAGCGACGAGGCGCATTTCCGCCGAGTAAATTCAGCGTTGAGAGCATGCGGTGAAATAAAAATTCGAAAATTTTAGTAACATCGTTCCGTCGAATAAATTATGTATCTAGGAGCGGATAATTCGTTCGGTGTTATCGAATTTTACGCTATAATAGCCATAAGAGCGATCTAGCGTGGAGGGTTGACAGAGTAATTGACTCGGTTTAGTTGCAGACAGCTTTAAAGCGATTAGAAGTTCCGAAACGAATGCACAGAGTTCTAGCTAGGATAACGATTAAGCTGCTATTCGAACAACGATTACACTTCTCGGCACGCTAATTCTCTGACAATGAATAATATACACGTAGAACGGGTCGTGCTTTATGACAAAATTCGATAAGAGTTCTATTACTGGAAGCAAATCGAATTAACGGCAATTTTTTGTCAGCATCATTTTGCAGGAAAATACGTGTGAAAA